CTTGTTTTTCTTAATATAATTTTTTTTTTTCTTTTTTACTGATCGGCAACGGGATCGCAACCCTCGGTGTTGCGCCCACGCCGCGCTCAGCCAGTGAGCGGGAACCGGTCACCACATGGGATCTGAACCCTCGGTGGGAGCGCCGCCACGCTCCCAAGCGGTGCACTCTCCAGTGCGCCACCGGGCCAGCCCTTAATATAATGTTTTTGAGGTTCATCCGTGTTACATGGATGTTGTTAGTTCCTTTTATTGCTCTATAGGTTTCATTGTATGAATATATCACAACTTACCTATTCTGGTGATGGTTGTAGATGTTATTGTAATACAGCTTTAGCATAATCTAGGTTTTGTTGCCCAGTAAGGAAAAAGTAAAATTTTGAAGTGAAAACTGACATATTGAAATAAAACTGGCACTCAGAGCATGGATTACCTTCAGATGCATTTGGTGTAGATAGGGCTTTCAGATTTCTAGCACCTCTTGAATTGTATTACTCTTAAGAATTCGAACTTCTTAGTTTCTTAAAGATTTCTTAAGCTATGTTGAAAGAAGTGATATATTGTGTAGGCTTTATATGAATTGTAGGTTTCAGAATGATTGTGACAGGCTACCCCCTCTCCCCCCCACCCCACCAACTAGGTGCTCTGACTTTGGTACTTAGAAATACTTCCAATGCTTCCTTTCTTGGAAACATTAGCATGCTGTAAAATGAAGATATTTGTAACTTTCAGTTTTGAGTAAAGTGAATAAATTAATGTGCATTGAATAACTTAATATGGAAAAGCTAATTCTGTAATGATAGCACAGGTAGAGATTTATAAGCCAACTTGATGGCCAGTAGTTGTTGGGAGGCTATTTTCCAGTGGTTGATTGAAAAGCATTTTCCCTACCTTTATGTGCCCTGTGTCAAAAATTAATTGAGGCCAATAAGCATATGGAAAAATGCTTAACCTCATTAATCATTAGGGAAAAGCAAATCAAAACCACTATGAGATACCACTTCATATCTGCTAGAATACCTATAATCAAAAAGACAGACAATAACAAATATTGATGAGGATGTAGAGAAACTGAAGCCCTATTATATTGGTAGTGGGAATGTAAAATGGTACAGCCACTTTGGAAAATAGTTTGGCAGTTTCTTAAAAAGGGAAACATATTTATGACCCAGCAATTCCTCTCCCTAGCTGAGATGGCAGAATAATCTAGGTAAAGGGAACTTTGAGAGTGAAGGAGGGCAGGGGGGGCTGAAGGAGAATCATTGAGTAGGTAAGTTTGGTTGTGGAGGACGGAAGTAGATCATGAAGGGACTAGGATGATAGGACTTAATTTTGTGAGAAAAGAGTAGGAAGATAAAAAGCAACTTGATGCAGAAAGTTGTGGCAGAGTTTGACCTCTCACCAATGAGAGAGAGATTGGGGATGAGGAAGGAGGACTCCTAGATGACTGGTGAATGGCAGGATGGTGGTGCTTTCCACAGAAGCAGGGAGCTCCTCCATGGGCTTGCAACTGAATCTTGGATGTTCCAAGAGTGAGGTGTCAGAGGGACATGGAGGTGGTGATGTCTAGCCTGCAGTTAGAAATGAATTGAGTTGTTTCAGATTGAAGCTGGTTTCTAGTCCTAAATGAGTGAAAGGGTCCATAGGTTTCTATCATTTAAAAATAAAAAATTTGGGCCGGCCCGGTGGCGCACTGGATAAGTGCGCCGCTTGGGAAGCGCGGCGGCG